ATGATTACCAATAACATAACAAATTTCATAGGGTGTCTTTGTTACCACTGTGATATTAACACTGACAAAACACTTTGTTGCTGTGGCAAGGATTATTCAATAGAAATCCCTTTTATCACCTCTTGAAAGAGATCTTCGAGGCAAAGTGTCATTGAACACACACAGATCTTGTTTGTTGGTATTTTTAAATACAACACCTTCGTGACAAATCAAACAATTACTGATCCATGTTTGTTTTTCACTACAAAATAGTCAANATCAAACAATTACTGATCCATGTTTGTTTTTCACTACAAAATAGTCCTTCCCAATCGTCGTGAAGCAACCTATTTTCTTCGAATATTTTTCACTTGCAAGATACGAAAGATGTACGTCGCTAAATGGTCGCTATTTCACTGTTGTCTGTTATCACTAATCAGAAAAAAAATGTCAATTCACACCCATACGACACCGACAGTAAAAATCAAAATTGATATATTATATTGCTTAACAAAGAATTTCCCACCAAATTTTTATAAATAAATGAATTTTTGAGAGCAATAGGCTGTGACCGGGCCACTTAAAAAGGCTCAGTGGGCCGCAAGTTAAGTATCGCTGATCTTTCTGTTGCCACAATATGGCGGAGGGGTGTACCCAGGCGGTATTGAGCAAAGAACGTTAAGCGAATTTTCTCTTAGCAAAGTCTCCCTAGGCGTGAAAGCCCTACCATTATGCTCAGCTATATCAGATAGGCACCCGGGTTTAAGTCAGTCTTCTCCATTTAGGTTCCCACGCCCTTAGAGCCAATTTAAATTGCTCTTTTCCCTTTATCATGAATTCAAACCGATGTCAACACCAACACAAGAGTAATGTTCCGGGTCCAGATAATTTCTGTCAAAATGTCTTGAAAACAATTTTATGCATGTATTCTAATCTAAGTGACACTAAATATGAAAATTATCCATTTATGCGCTTTTTTAAAATCACGGTTCCGAACGCAGTCGGATACCTTAAATGTATCCTGGTTCAAAGTCTTTACACTGGCGTGGTGAGGTTGTTTAAATAATGGGAAGCCAATTCAGCCTTTTTCCACGCAATTTGGTTGAAATTAGAATAAAAGAATGCGTAATTAGTCCTTGCGTTATTTTAGAATGCGACGTTAATAATAATAAAAAAATTTTGTCTGTTCGTTCTATTTTGTTTCCTTTTTATCCATTAAAATCAGTGCTTCTCAAACTTTCTATGCTTGCGCCCAATTTTGTAGAGTTATCACGTTCACCTATAGGGGAGCGCCCCACAGTTTGAGAAACACTGATCTAAATACAATAAAAATTACCAACAAGCATGTGGTCATTAAAAAGAAAATATTTAGTAGTAATGCCAAATAGAAGCCTTACTATTATTCTTCTGCCTAATTAATAAATTAAAGAAATTTTGAAATAAAATATTGGCTTGTAAAGAGTTTTAAAAATAAGTTGAAAAATAATTGAGAATGTGGCTTACATTATACGTATAGCCAAAAAATTTGAAATTTTCAAGTTATTGCATAGAAATACAAATTTTCTTTTAAGAGGGATGGTTAATAATACATTTTTAATAACAAATTTAGAAAAAATAAGCAAAAATGAAATTTTAATCGAATGAAT